TATTCGGATCACTCGTCATTTTGTTACGCTTCACAAAAAAATTTATCAAACTGTGATGCTATTAGTAAATTTTGTCAAAATATCACGTGACATATTTCGCTACACTGTGTAGCGAAATATGTTTGCAAGTAATTCGCTACACAGTATAGCGAAATATGCCACATCAGAATACACAGAACCAAAAATGTCACGTGTCAAGCAGGCAGAATTCAAGCATAATTCGCTACATAGTGTAGCGAATTTCTGCCTGGTTGACACGTGTCATTTTTTGCTGACTGTGTATTCTGACATGACATATTTCGCTACACTGTGTAACGAATTACTTGCAAACATATTTTGCTACACAGTGTAGTGAAATATACCGCGGGGTATTTTGACAAAATTTACTGTTGCCGTGACAGTCTGGTAAATTTTTTGCCAAGTGTGACAAAATGGCCACTCTTCCTTTCTATTCTGCATGGCTGACACGAATAAATAGGGGAAAAACACCATTTTGAAGTTTTTGGACAAAAGAATTGCCCGGTTAAAGTTGATTGGATAAGTTTTTCTAAAGTAATGCAGTCAAACATGTCACCTATGCTGACGAGACTAGTCTCGTCACTGATACTGACGGGACTCGTGCCACGTCAGCGCCACGTAGGCAATCCAATTACCGTAAATCTTCGGAAGACCATAACTTGTGACTCGGGTATTCAAATCAGATGATTTTTTTTTGATTTCACATAATTTTTCGAGATCTACGCAATGATACCTCGTTTGACATATTTTATCTCCCACAAACATAGTTTGAATTTGTAACAATTGTATCACAATCACAAGAGTGTTTATCCATAAGACTATGTTTGTGGGAGATAAAATATATCAAATGAGGTGTCATTGCGTAGACCTTGAAAAGTTATGTGAAATAAAAAAAAAATCATCTGATTTGGATACCCGAATCACAAGTTATGGTCTTCCGAAAATTTACGGTAATTGGACTGTTTACGTGGCGCTGACGTGGCACGAGTCCCGTCAGTATCAGTGACGGGACTAGTCCCGTCAGCATAGGTGACATGTTTGACTGCATTACTTTGGAAAAACTTATGCAATCAGCTTTAACCGGACAATTCTTTTGTCCAAAAACTTTAAAATGGTGCTTTAGCCGAATAAATAGTCCAAGACAGGTGTTATCACTTGGTTGTTTCTTAACTGTATGTGACTTTAGCCAATATTTTTAAGAAAAAAATTTATCTTTTAAATAACACAAATTATGTCATTTTACTCTCGTAAAGAAATGAAACCCATACTTTTATTCATATCTTTTAAAATAATACACATTTTTCTTATATTTTTATCATTGAAAAAGAAAAGAAAAACTTACCAACTTTTCTCCTTGACGTCTATAAATGGGAAAAATTTACTATGATCCCAGTAGTATTTGTGGTCCTTCCAAATAAGAATGCAACACTTGTATTATCTTTTTCTTTTTCTTTTTTTCCTTTTTTCTCTTTCCAACTTTTTCTTTCTTCATCTCTTTTCAGTCCCACCCATAAAAAATGCTCCGGGATCACTACTCTTGATCTTGCGTTGATGTTAGTTCTTATGAAAGTGTGAGTAACTTCTTGTGACTGGAGTATTCCTCCAATTTGATGAAGGTACGATTTTGTTCTTTTATTTTTTTTGTTCTTTCAATAATAAAGATTGATCACCATTCATAGAATTCTTACATTGTTGCATGCATGCTCTTTAGGTGACCCGTGGTTCTAGCTGATGCTGTTTCCCTTTTTCTCAGGTTCGAAGCTCTCTTCAAATTCCAAGTGTTTTGGCTTTGCATGTATGTGATTTATATTGTTTGTCCCAACTTTTGAGTGAATATGAAAATTTGTTGATTATTAATTGTGATATTCTTCATCAAGATATGTTGCAGAATATTGATGTAGATGTCTCTGCTGCCACGCAATTGGTGGCTATCTTTGCTAAAAGAGTAGACGACTACTATCAATCACCCTACCAAACCTCTCATTAATTTTTGCAGCTTTTATTCGTGGAAGTGCTCACCAACATTAAATCTTTTTGGAATATTGATTAGAATGTCACTATTTATTAATTTTTTTATTCGAATGTCACGCGAATAATATTATTTTTCGATATGTCACTCGTACAAGTTCGCTATAATAGGTACCAAACTTCGTTTGCTGACGTGGCAAGTTTCTGATGGCCACCTAATTCATTGTGTGGTCAAAATGTCAATCTATTCTAATTATTTTCAGGACATATGGCAGTCTCTCTCAAGTTCGCTATACAGTCTAGTGATCTTGGTATAATAAAAATGACATTCTGCTCGAATAAAAATAAGACACGTTGCAGTTTTTTCCCATATTCGCTATACAACCTAGCGATCTTGGTATAATGAAGCTGGCTCCCTCTGACCATGCTCGTCTCTTCTATTCTTTATTGGTAATAGTAATTTTTTCACTTGCCAAAAGTTGTTTCCTTCCTTGCATTTTCTCTCTCTTTTTTTTCAAAAGTCCAACTTTTAGTATTTCAAAAAAATAAAAAAAGTCCAGCTTTTACCATAGACAAGTAACATTTCACCATCTAATTTTTCTTTTTTTATAACGTAATCATCCTCACTTTTTCCTTCCATCTTTTTTTTTCTAGCTCTCTCCAAACAAAGAAACTGAAGTGTTGGAAGATATAGGGGTCAGTGTGTGAAGACTTTTTCCTTCCGTACAGTTGAAAAGCAACATAAGAGCTAGCAAGTAATTCGCTGCATTCCAAGTGAACGCCTGGCATTTTTTACCACAATTCGCTATTGTTAGTAGCGAACTAGGTACCAAAAAGATGCCACATCAACAAACGAAGTTTGTTGGGCACTGTAGCAAACTTGCTTGTGTGGCATATTGAAAAATAACAATGTTCGCGTGGTATTTAGATAAAAAAAATTAATAAACAGTAAAATGTTGGTCAGTGTTCCAATCTTTTTCCACTGTGGTCGCTGCACCATATCTTTCTCCAGCAGTAACACTGACCCTCATTTCTCCCCCCGCCACCCTTGAGATCTATGAATTCTTTCATGGTCTTTATCTCTTTATTATCTTCACAACAAGTTCTCTTAATCAAAAATATGACAAAGAGATGAAGACATGAAGGGATTCATTTATCTTGAGGACGACAGAGGAGGAATGAGGACTGACACTACTATTTGAGCAATATATGATACGGCGACAATGGTGCAGAAGGATTCAATGGCCGTGAGGAGCTCACACAGACAGCAGGTGCATAAACTAGTGGTTGGTTTGGTAGGGTGACAAGAGAACAGTGACCAAAATGTCACATTTTGGCAATATCTATATGCCACGCGAACAGTACTTTTTACCAGACTGCCATATGGGCGTAATTCGCTACGACTGGTAGCATATTACGTTCGCCAATGATTTTGACACGTGACACACTTTCGCAGGAAAAAGCTGACGTGTCATAATTCGCTATCAGTGATAGCGAATTTGGTATACAATATGGCCACGTGTCACGAAATTATTGACCACGAAATTCGCTACCAGTAATAGTGAATTATGACACATAGCAATCTGGTAAAAATACTGTTCGCGTGACATTTAGATAAAAATTTTAGCAAAAAGTGACACTTTGATCACTGTTTCGGTGACAATTTCAAGGGGTGAAACCACGGTGCATTCTGGAAAATGTCACTTAAGACATATGACAGAGAAAAATAATTCATATGTTTATAATTTGAATGGAAATAGTTATTAGTCTTGGGATATTATAATAGTACTAAAAATATTCTCGATATGGTGATGCATTAGTCTTGGGGTTTTTATATTGTACTAAAAAAAAATTGACATTTATCACGTGACACAATCAAAAAAGCACCACAGCCTTTAGCGCCTTTGAAGGGGCGACATGATTGATCTCATGACACTAAACTTGTAAAAATTCGCCTACATGCGGTGACACAAGTGGCTAAGGAGTCGGTCCATATTTCAAAAGAGCGTGGGTTCAATTCCCTCTTGCTGCTTTGAGGCTTATGTTGGTGGGTAAACTGTAAAGCGGGCTTTCTTTCCGCTGTTCCTGGCGTAAATCCTCATAGAGGTTGAACAAATCTGTCCTAGCCCTAACGGGTTACATACTGGTGTCTCCCTTGCCAGAACTTATTTAATACTAAAAATAAATAAAAAAACTTGTAAAAATTCTGTACCCGCATACATATTGAGAAATATATACTTTCTAAAAAAAAAAACAGAGACTATAATAGTGTGTATGCCTTATTTTATTTGGATAGTGTGATAGAACTCAGTAACATGACATTTCACATACTTTAGACTTGGATGGACACGTAATATACTTTTAACTTGGATGTACATATTACAAGCGTATCATATACTTTTCAATGTGTAGGATTCCAAAGATGTCTTCTCATTTCAGCCATTTCTCCTCTTATCTGCATAGACATTGCTACGAGGGAAATAACTGAAGTAATTATATGAGGCTTTATGCATTCTCAGACAGTAGAAAATCGGCTGAAAAGACACTATTAGTCAAGTAATGTATTTTGTAGTCTGAAAGATCTTTTTATATTTATCTTAGTTTTGGTTGTATGTGATAACTTAGTCGTTTAATAATATCTGTTGAGGTTAACCTCCTAATTAGGAATATGTGCACAGTGCACTCAAAAAGTAGGGTAAAATGTCAATCAAACACCTAAATGTTATTAATATAGTAGATTTATTATATAAAAGAACATATCTTATTTTAGAACCATAAATTGTCTATAGAAAAAGGCTGTTATATGTACTTGTAATATATTAGTGAAGGTTTGGCCAATTTCCTGTGCAAGTAAGTAACTGTTCATGTACTCCTCTAAGATTGAAACCTTCATATCCCAATGTTACCCTTTCAGCAAATACCATTATTGAATTCAATTCCTGGGCTGCATCAGCCCAGGTGCTCTCCTGTGTACAATTAACATCGTGACAAGATTAATTCAAAAGTTCCCATGAAGAAAAATAAAAATCATTTAAAACTCCCTTTATTGTCTCAATGTGTGAATTAGAGCCCCTGGTGTCCTTCTACAGGACCAATCCATACAAAGCACAATGGCAGGTTGAATCACTCAGACACCGGAAACAATTCAACAGAATACATAAGATCAAAGATTCAAGAAGAGGGTATCCAACCAAAAATTAATGAAAGGAAGAGATTTTACTCTACTTTAGTATCTGGTCTAAGAAGAAAATGAATTGAGGCCAAACTCATAACACATAAATTTCCCAACTTATCCGAAAATCAAAATAATTTTTCCCCCTCTTCCAATCGCATGCAGTGTTCCAGATGTTATTGGAGTGAATTTATGTCTTCTCAAAGCCCCATTAACAAAAAAGATTTAATTTTTCTCTGATTTCACTCGTGAGTTGTGTTTTTCCTTCTTCCCCTGAACTAGTTGGAACACGGGTCACAAAGAAGGAAACAATCCCTCACATTTCAAAGTAACAAAGACTTTAGGGTCCAGCATAGTTGCAACAAAGGATACCTTGGGAAAGAGCTTGACAACTCCTTGAATCACTGCTAAGAGATGATACCATTCTTGCAGTGGCCACTGCATTATGAAGAGGCAAAAGTGACTGCACACTTCCTAACTGGTATACGCGAGTTCTGTTAAAACAAATATAACAATTTGACATTTCAGCACAACACACACACAAAAAAAATAAAACATTTTTGACTGTTCTTCACAACAATAATAATATGAAGGGTTATGTGATACAAAATTACAAACACAGCTAACAACTATTTACACATGAAAAATAAGCAGAAAACTGCTGAATAATTGAACATAATACTAAGATTCCCATTACTAAAACAGAACACAGTATCATACAAATTCATACTTAATTTCCATTTTATAGCTATACACAATACACCAAAAAAAAGTAAAAAAAAAAAAAAAAAATTGGGATTTTTTTTAGTGAAGTTTCTAATACGATTCTGTTTCTGGGTATGAAGAAAATTCGAAAAAGAACGTAACTTTGCAAGTTTGGTGAAAAAGGGTTACCTCATAAACGATGGGAAACGACGGTGCGACACTGTTGCAGAAGAGGAGTTGAGAAGAGAAGAATGGTTCATCGGTCTAGCAGCTGATTTCAACGAAGAAAGTGAGATTAGAAGACGACTGCAAAAGGAAGACGCCGCCATCAGAATGAGAGAGGGATAGACAGAGAATTAGAGAAACACAAATTCAAAGGTAAAGAGAAGAAAGGGAAGAGACTGGAATGTGATTCTCCCGTTAGAGAGGGTATTTTAGTTCCACATTAACCCAAATATATTGCTTTAACAAAGTTTAGCCCTCTTAAAAAATTTAGAAATTGCACTTTCCTCAAACCTTAAAATTTGATACAAAATCTTAACAGTTGATTTTCGTCAATTAACGATTATTATTTATTATTAATCAAATTTATTAATTAACTATTAAATTTTAATAAATAATAGCCGTTGATTGACAACAATCAACGGTTAAGATTTGGTGTTAAACTTTAAAGTTTGACACCAGTATTAAAGGACCATATTTCTTCTATGATATATTCATTCATCCTAATTGTTGTGGCAGACCAAATAAAGTTGGCCCAATATCAAGGGTCTAAGCCACCTCAACCCTTTCTTGATGGGGTTTTTATATCAACACCCATGTAACATGTTTCCTAACATAAAACACTAGAATGTCTTACTTGGGATTTCTCTTCATCCGCTTTGTCTGAACAGGCACCCAATATGTCTCCTTGTTATGCTTTCCCTGCATAGCAGTTGTCAACATTACAGCATCTGCGAAGTTTCTTGGGTCTGCAAGGCCAGGCTAAATGTCTTTTTTCCATAATAGTTGACTTATCTCTCTCCTTTTATCTACCATGGAACCTATAAATATCCCATCCTTCTTCTTCACCAAACACATAGTACCTCAACTTGCATGAGCAGTTACTCTATCAATTTGGAGAGCCATTGTAGCCATCCTACACCCCTTCATTGCTATGCACTGCACTTGGGACCTCTCCACATAGTCTTAGTATGTAATATTGATGTGAGAGACACCCCTATAGAGAGTGCAATACCCATCCAGGTTACATATTTGGCTTTCTTGCTTAGCTAATGATTCATTATCGCTGCCTATGGAAATTGTTAAATTCATATTTCTCTTACCGTAGGTTCTAAGAAAGCTAGAAACTCCATTCTCCCCAACTCAACAACTTGCAAAATGGTCCACACCAGAAGAACACATTAATCGAGGGAAAACACCCTAGTAGGCCACGTCCAAACCTTGCATGAGGGCTTTGTGCCTTCCGTTCCCTCTGCACCGATTGCATTAGTTGCACTACCTCCAAACAGACCAGTTGTAGCTACACCTACAGTCGTAGATCCAACCACCTAACTCATGATTGAAAAGAGGAGAAACGAGATACTCTATATTCATCAACAAGTCTGGCTCAACCCCCAACCGATTCTACAGGAAGTGCAAAAAGCGTAAGACTGACCTAACCTGTTATTTCACGGGTTCTCTTTGGGATGCCTCAAGAAGTACCAGTAGCCCAACCTGTCGAATTTTCTTTCCCGGTCGGGGACCAAGCCATCATCCTGGAACTTCAAACCATACCCATGGCCACAACGCCTCACTTGAATCTCGTCCAGGTGTATCTCTCACCTCCAACAGCACTCTAAGTCGTAACTCCCTTACCATAACTCCATGTCTTGTCCCAAATGGCTCTGCCAATCCCCACCATCACAGCCAAGTGATACCAGTCAACCAGCAACCTACCCTGCCCCAATTCTTCTACATTATATCGGTCGCCCAACAGCAGCAGCTGAACAATAGCGCAGCTAAGCCAGCAATCTCTTGTTCAATTTATGATATAGCCGCTTGGAAAATTCCAGTCTGACAACATGACAAATCCCACCCCCAAGCAGCAAGACAGCAGGCTCAGCAGAACATGTCTGCAAACCCTTTATGGCACAACAATCCCTTAATCAATCTTCTGCATCTTACCCCCATACCGCTCGGCTTTAAAGGACCCACCAATATCCTCATCTACATTGGAGACACTGACCCCTACGAATGGATCCAAAAGTTCGAAGTGGTGATGAGACGCACAACGAGATTGATCTCCTTATGTGCAGAACCTTTCCTTCGTTGTTGGGTGAAAGAGCCCTCATCTGGTACACCAATTTGCCGACCGACAACATATCTTCATGGGATGACTTGGCAAGCAAATTCCAGACCCAATTCTCCAAAAGACGACCGGTGCCCAAGTCTGTGCACTCTCTTGAAAAAATACGCCAACAACATGAAGAGTCCCTCAGGTCGTATCTAGACTGATTTGACAAAGAAGCGCTACTGATCAATGGCCTCGACGCCAAAGTCCAAGTCCACATCCTCTTGTTTGGTCCACGCCAGGACCCTTTGCTTACGAGCTGGCATGACACGAAGTCATAAACATCGAAGAAGTGAAAAAGAAGGCATAAGACTATATGAGAGTCGAAGAATATAAGGGTAGCAGAACTGACGAAACTTCCAGCGTGACAAGAAGCTTGGCAAAAATAAGAAATCAAGTAATGATGAAGACAAGAGATTCCACAAGCCCCCTAGTAAAAATCCCCACCACTCCCCTTACCGGTCATCCCGCCCTAGTATATTTCGAGAAGTTATGCAAACCGACCTACGAGACGTGCATAAACCACCCATTGCTAGACCTAAAGTTTCGAAGGAACCCCTAAAATTCTGCAAGTTCCACATAAGTCATGTCCACTCCACTAAAGAATGTCGAGAAATTGAAGATTTGATCAAGTGAGGCACTTCAAGAAGATACAGCGGCAACAGTCAGAAAGACGACTGATGTAGAGAATATGATAGAAAGAGACACTACAAATTCGATCGGAACCCATCCACGGATAACAAGAGGACAGAGAGAATCGAATACAAACGCCCTAGAGGCGATCAAGAGTGGAAGGAGACAAACTCCAAGTCACACAGACAGTATAAGAAGAATACAAGAAAAGACAGCCAATAAAGTGAATGCTCGGTTGTAATCAAGCACAAACTGATTAATATGATATTGGGAGGACTAGGAGGTGGAGGAGAGACTGCAAACGCCAGAAAAAGACACCTCAAGCAGTGTTTCACAGTCACAGGCAAATTGATCGCTAGAGCCAAAGACTATAAGCAACATAAGAAGCCACAAATTATGTAGGACGAGATGAACTGGAAGGAGTCATTCCCGGACATGACGACCTGCTCGTCGTCAAGGTAGTGATCGCTAACTTTGACGTCAATAGAGTTTTTGTAGATCATGGCAGCTCGACAGACGTTTTGTTTTCTACCCTGCCTCAAAGGATTAGGCTACAGCCTAAAAGGCTTGAATCCGATCATGGGCGAATCATTGGCCTTCAACGCAACTATCACTAAACTTCTCAGGATGATTGAGCTTCGTTTGTCTCTTAGAACTCCTCACACCTCCAAGTCTACGAACATAATAATTTTGGTGCTTGATATCCCCCCTACCTACAATACCATCTTGGAACGAAGAGTATTAGCTAATTTTTGCCAGCATTTCCCACCACTAAGTGGCCATGAATTTTGTACCCAGAAATAACAAAGTCGCTACAGTCCGGGGAGACAAGAGAACAGTGAAATGTTGCTACAACATAAGCCTCGACCCCACGCCCAGTGTGACGTTCGAAGAAGAAGAAAAGGCCGAAACAAGCACCGCACAACCCCTCAGAAATGAGAGGGTAAATTAAAAAATATCCCAGTAATGGTATAATTTGACGCCAGATATGATCCCCCATACTTACCCCTGACGGTGCGGTGGAACACCTAATTCTCGGCGAGACAGAAGACCAAACCACGATGATCAGTTCCATCATAACCCTTGACATGAAAAACAAGCTCGTCAAACTCCTCCAATACAACAAACATCTCTTTACATGGAAGCCATCAAACATGACGGGAATTGACCTTGAGTTTTGCTGCCATAAGTTATCAATCGACCTTACAGAAAAACCAGCTGCCTAGAAGAAGAGAAAGGCTGGAACCAACCATCAGAAAGTGATGGACACTAAAGTAAAATGGTTGTTAGAGGTAGGCTTCATCAGAGGGATTGACTATTCCACGTGGTTAGCAAACCTCGTCCTGGTCAAAAAAGGCAGCGGAGCTTGGAGGATGTGTATAGATTATATTGACCTGAACAAAGCATGCCCTAAAGATGCTTTCTCGTGTATCGACCAGCTGGTCGATAACGTGTCAGATTTTAAAATATTGTCCTTTATGGATGCTTATTCAGTGTATAATTAGATACTGACGTTCAAAGGATATGAAGACAAAGCAACCTTCATTGTATAAGGCTCTAACTATTGCTACACCATGATGCCATTTGGTCTAAAGAACGCAGGGGCCACATACCAGAAGATGATGAACAAACTGTTTAAAGACCATATCAGCTGAATTATGGAGGTCTACAGATGATATGATTGTAAAATCATGCTCCGAGGAAGACCACTTGAAGTATATGGAAGAAGTTTTCAACCAACTTAGGAGATATAACATGAGGTTGAACGCCAGTAAGTGCGCCTTTGGAGTTCCAGCTAGTAAATTTCTTGGCTTCATGTTAACCGAACGAGGGATAAAGGTTAACCTTAATGAGTGAAAGGTGGTCTGGAGATGAGAAGCCCCCAAACAATCAAGAAAGTGCAACAACTAACCTGTTGGAAAGCTGCTTTGACCCGCTTTTTGCCGAACTACACCCACAAATCCTTTCCCCTTTTTAGCTTTCTGAAAAAGGGAATAAGTTTTCAATTGATTGACTAATGTGAAAAGGCCTTCCAAGAGTTCAAAATAGTATTGTCATCCTCTCCAGTGTTGACCAAACCGGATGACGGAGAGACTTTGTACTTATATCTGGCAGTTGGCACCGAAGCCATAAGTGCAGCCCTCATCAGGGAATCCAAATTTGAGGGGCAGAGACCGGTCTACTTTGTTAGCAAAGTGTTACAAGGAGTCGAGTTGCGATACCAAAAGTTGGAAAAGGTCACATTCGCCCTAATTTTTAAAGCAAGATTCAGATCGTATTTTCAATGTTATCCGATCGTCGTCAAGATCAACCATCCCATCAGACAGGTCCTTCATAAGCCTGATCTAGCTGGCTAGATGATGTCTTTGGCAATTGAACTATCAGAATACTAGATCAATTGCGAGCCTAGAACTGTTATCACGGCCCAAGCCTTGATAGCCTTCATCGCGGAGATGACCTACACTCCAAAGACCACTGTAGACAAGATTAGAGAAACACTAACCCCCTGGAAGATCTTCGTCGACGGATCTTCGAACTCCATAGGATCCGATGCCGACATTATCATAAAAAATTTGGATGGCGTAGCAATAGAGCATTCTTTGACCTTTGACTTTATCACCACTAACAACCATGCAGAATATAAAGCCATAATTGCGGGCCTTACTTAAGCCAAAGATTTAGGGTAGAACACCTCAAAGTTTTCAGCGACTCTCAATTGGTGACCTTTCAGATTTTCGGTGAATACCAGGCGAAAAGCCCCCGATGGCCAAATACCTTGAGAGGGTAATTGAGTTGTTGAAAACTTTCATCACTATTGAAGTAGAGTACATCGGGCATTCAGAAAATATGAAAACTAATATACTAGCTAAGTTGGTGAGCACCAAGAGCCCAGGAAACAACCGATCGGTTGTCCAACACAACTTTGCCACTCCATGCATTATCATGGCCATTTATAGAGATGTCATGGAGCTAGGCGAAGAAACCTACTTGAGCCCAATTATCAATTATCTCTAAGAAGGAGCATTCCCCCTTGGCCAGAAAGAAGTAAGAAAAGTAATGAGGAGAAGTATAATCACCCATATCAATAAGTATATGAAATTGAGGATTTAAGTAAGATTGATCTGTTAATCATGAAACTATCATGATATTAATTATGGAATGTCATTTATGCCAAGCAAGTCAATTAGGAACTTATTAGTAATATTTGGATGTGTAGGTCAAAAGCCAAAATTATGAGACAATTTAGGTACCATTTTGCAAATTAGTGAAACTTGGTCTAAACTTGATTCTGATAGTAAAATTAAATTCTTTAGGAAATTTCATGAATTTTAAGTGATATAAAGGTATGTTAATTATGGGTAGAATAATTATGAAAAATAAGTTAAGATTTGAGAAAATGAAAAACAGTAGAGTTATTTCATATAAAGGTTAAGTGTTGTATTGTCTATGTTTCTCAGTTATCTTTCTTGTTTATCAAGTAATCTTAGCTTTCTTGTCAGTTAAGTAACCATGATTGTTGGTTAAGGTACGTTACTTGTTCAACAAGTTACCTCAGTAGCTTGTCCGTTAAGTTTCAATGGCTTAGTCATTAAGTTTAGTTTACTTAGTCACTAAGTTATTAAGATAACATCTTCAGGAAGTCACGTTTCAGTTGCTTAGTCGTTAAGATTGGTTTACTTAGTCACTAAGTTACTAAGATAACTTCTTCAAGAAGTCACATAGCTTATTTGTTAAACAAGTCATCTAGTAGCTTGTCCTACAAGTTACTGCGATAGCTTCTTCATCACACTACTTTTCAAGATTTAGTCGCTAAGTTTCATGAAAACTTAGTCACTAAGTTAGCTTATTTTACAAGTTTAGTTACTTAGTCCTTAAGTTACGTAGGTAGCTTCTCCATGACACCACTTGAGTTGCTTAGCCGCTAAGTTAGTGAGACTTTTCTTCCAAGTTAAGTTAACTTACTCATTAAGATAACTTACTCATTAAGTTAACTTGCTCATTAAGATAACTTACTCACTAAGTTAACTTGTTCATTAAGTTAACTTGCACGCTAAGTAAGGTGACTTGCTCACCAAGTCGTGGAAACTTAGTCACTAAGTCATGGAAACTTGCTCGCTAAGTTATCTTCATCGTTAAGCTTTCTCTTCTTCTCCTTGGACTCCACGGCCATATGCCTATATATAGGCTATCATCCAAGAGCATTTTACTTCTACTTTCCACTTGGTTTAGGCGCACATTCCTAGAGAGAAAAGAGTGAGATTTTCATCTAGTTTTAGCTACTTTTTCCAAAAATCCTATTTCACGAAACTTATAGTATAGGATCCTGTGATCATAGCCTTAGTCTTAGAACATCTATAGGAGTTCATATGAGTAAGATATATCCACCTTTAGCCACGAGCTCCTTGCTGCCTCCTTGAAAAAGGATGGGTTTTTTTATGTTCATTCGGTTCTAAGTTGATTTCTGGGTTCCGTTAACCTATCTAAGGTATAAACTCTCAATTTCTACAGTTAGAATTCTTAAATTAAGCTTCTGTCTATCAATTTATTGGTCTTTTATGAAAATGATTTTAAAGAATTCATATGGTCTTGTATGATGGTTTTTATGAAGTTTTAATGTTTGTATAGGTTTTTAATTGGTAAAAGTCTAAGTTGAACAGTTTAGAAATGAAAAAGGATGGTCTTAAAGTCATGTGAATATTTCGACTATATGATGTAATATTAAGTAAGTAAAGATTTTTATAAGTTAAATAAAGATTATTTTAAGTTGTTTTAAGAGATAAGTTATGGTTAAGTTAAGTTAAAAATGTAGGAAACTTATAAGTCTTTTGCTAAGTCTATGTTTCATATATGTTGGTATTTTCAGTAGGAAGTATATATTATGTTAATATGGGAAGTCTAGATGTTTAATATAGAGACTTGTTGGGTGGCATAAATGAATAAGTAAGATTTTGTAAGTATGGAAGATTTTGAACTATGCATGGAAAACGTAGATTTTTACAAGTTTAAGAAAGTTTGGATTGATGGTTAATGATGTCCATGTTTATATATTTTAGTTTGGAATCAAGACAAGTGAATTAAGCGAATCAATTTCAAGTATTAAGTATAAGGAAAGCTGCTTACATGTAAGCTTTTGGTTTAAGGAGTTTTCTTCTTTCTTGTTGATCCACCATAATCCAGTGGGATGTGGGTAAGTGAAGGTCTTCTACTAACTGTCGTCTAATGAATTTATGGGAAACTATGATGCACAAACATAGACACGGGACACGACACGACACGCCGACACGTTAATTCTAAAAAATGTCATATTTGGACACGTTGGGACACGTTTTGATATTAAATAAAAATTTTAATATATATAATATAATTTATATTTAATACATATAGCAACTCATAATAACTCATATACTAATCAAATATTCAAATTTCATAACGTAAATATTAAAAAAAATAATAGAACATCCCAAGAGTGTAGAGTGTAGAAAAATAGAAAAATTATTTTACTTATGATTACACACAGTTCAATTATTTTCATCTCCATCTTGAATAATCATGGCCTCTATCTCTGGCTCATCAAGTGAAAGGCTAGCAAATTGAAGATGTCCAATATCATCAAGTGAATCAAATGTATCTCCAGCAATATCCCACATTTGATTTGCTCCTTGTGCATAACTAGGAGTCTTTCTTGATAAGAGTCGAAGATTGCTATGCACATAAACCAAGTCTTCAACGCGTTTTGGAGTGATTTTATTCCTCTTGATTGAATGCACAAAAGAATAAGTACACCAATTGCGTTCAGCACATGATGAAGAGGAGGGTTGTTGCACAAGTCTCAATGCTATTTTTTGAAGCATCGGTGTAAAGGTACCATAAAGTAGCCACCAAGATTTCAGATCCATAGTGTATTGAGTATTGATGGCATCAAAATCGCCAAAGGTTCCACTATTGCTAATAAAATCTGCATACTCCAAACTAATCCGGCTTCGGTCCTCCATGCTAGGAAAGAATATCCTTAAACATTTTTGTCGCTCTTGAGTAAGCTCTAAATCCATGTGTGGAGGAACTCGATTAGAATCTTCCTGAAGCCATTGTTGACTATAGTATCTAAGAAAGAAGCAAAAAAAATCAACACGTTGTCAAATTATATCAAGAGGAGTATTAATTTTAAACTGAATCATATTTAAAAACTTACTTGGGATTCAAAGCAAGTGCCAAACAGTGTAGTGGAGTTGAGTTTTTTGTCCAACGATCCACAAGAATGCAATGCACCACATCATAAAAAGAGGAGCTCTCTTCCATCCTCTTCCCCTCTTTATGGTATATAGCTTTCTTCACTTTCACAATCATTGCACCCCACATATCATATATCAAGTGAAGACAAGCTCTATCAGTGTCACAAGCTTTGATCATATCATAAATTGTAGCAGTGAATGCAAGTATGTAATCAACTGAATCCCAAAAACAATCATCCAATATTTTTTCCTTCACATGTCTGGCCCTCCCAAGATTATCATCTCTATAAATATTCCATTTTTCACTTATCACCATATTTTGGAGACCGCTCTTTATTAACTTGAATCTCTTCAGCATCACAATCATTCAAGCAAAACGAGTATCAGCAATAGAAAGCAACTTAAAACTCACAAACTCATTAAAGATGGCCAATCTCATAGAATGATTCATAATGAAATGCTTTATTGCAGCAACATCACCTACAATATTAGAAATCCAGCTGCATTCCTCATACGTTATTTGATTGCTCTCCACATTCTTTGCAGCACAAATATTTTTCATAGCCAAATTCAATGTGTGAACAACACACGATGTCCAAGTAATAGATGGGAATTCCTGCTCAATAAGTTGCCCTGCTCCCTTACAATTTGCAGCATTATCTGTGATTACTTGAACCACATTCGCCTCTCCTACTTCTTGAATAACATCCTTTAGCAACCTGAAAATGAAATTTTTATCATTAGTCTCCCTCGAGCAAATAAACACTTAAATAGAATACAAAAGTTCAAACAAACAACCTCAAAATGAAATTTTTATCCTTAATCTCCCCCGAGCAATCAACTGATTTTAAAAACATTGCTTTACCATCAGATACTGCCATGAAATTAATGAGTGGCCTCCTTTGTGAATCACTCCACCCATCACTTACAATACTCACCCATTTATGAGTCCAAGACTCTCGAATAGGTTCACACAACTTATCAATATTTTCTTTCTCCTTTTTCAACAGAGTGGTTCGCAATGAGTTATATACCGGTGGCAAATAACCTCCAATATTATGATTTGCTGCAGAAGTATATGAAGCTTGGAAGTAAGGGTTCTTTGCCAAATTGAATGGCAATCCTACTGAATAAAACATTCTAGCAATCAGGTAATTTAATTATTCTCGCTCCCCAACATTAAATGCCATCTCAAGAGAACCTGTAGTTTTTCTTTTTTTTTGGCACGTGGAAGAGCTAGAAGGAGGTAAAGGTACATTTCTGGGTGCATTAGATTGCTTTCTCTGGTCAGCTTCTTGTTCTAATTTCTCCATCTCTATCAGATCTCTATTTTGCACCATTAAGCATTTCCCAATTCCTTTGCCTGATAGTTTCAACAAATGAGCCCTCACTCTAGTATATGAACTTTTATAATCTTTTTTAAAAAAGTTGCACATCCAAGATAAATTTCCTCCTCCTTCCACTCTAGCATTTATTTTGGTAACATATTTTCATAAGGGTTTATCTAGTAATTCATTGGCATCAGAAGCACTAGTAGCAGCAGTGGCACTATTACTGGCACTGGCAGAGGCAAAACTCGAATGATCCATCTTGTAATTCTATAAATGTGTCAAACAAAAATAAAATTAATGAGATTGATTTAGTGTATAAAAATTCCAAATGACATGGGCAAAGCAAGAAAAAATAGCTAAACATGTCTGACCCTCTCCTGCTTGGGCTTATGATTACAAACAGATAGAAAATAAAAAGGAAAAAACAAAGGGGTGGGTTCTACAAAAAAAGCTTAACAAATTGAACTAAACGCGAGTTCTGCAAAATCATGGTCTATAATCGACATGTGCTTTACAACTGAAGATATTCACAATTATCAAGATAATTAGAATGCTATGCAAATTAAAGGATCTGAGTTATTTGTTGATCTTTGCTTTTCTGTGTGCTTTGGAGAAAGAGAAATTACAGGGAATAGTTGAGCTTTGAATAGGTAATATGGTCAAAGATGGAGAAGATCCATGATCTTAATGCATGTAAAGGCAAAAAAAATCAAAAAAAAATCAAAACAAACAAGAGACTGCAAAGGAGAAAAATACATTACTATTATCAACCAATTTCAAACAATGAAATAAACACTCATCCTCCAATGACCCCTGCAAAAAAAACTCGGTCCTTTTGCTGGAAGACATGGTCCAAAAAAATTAAATCTACGTTGGAAGACACTATAATCATAATTTTAAGCATGTCTTTGGATCCTGGTGAAAGGCTAATATCAAATGCATTACTTGATTCGATGACAGAGTCCAAATACAAACCTAAAATTATTTAGATGAATGAAATACAACATATTCCACAGTCAAAGTATAGCCGCTGCAATGATAAAAACATCAAATATCCACAACCATAGTCCATGAAATCCTATAAATAAGATAACCAGCCAAGCCACCAACCAGCCAATCCATGAAACTTACAGTCAAATATAATGATTGAAGAGTTACAAATCCACAAAGAACAAAAATATTGCTAGGGGTCACAAGAATGTCAAGCCCAAACAGAGACAGGAACTTGAAATAGATCATATAATGTCATAACAAAAATATAGTTGACAGAAACAGAAACATGTCTTAAAAAAATGTAACATTAATCAAAACCAGAGATATAATCAGCAGTAAATTTAAGCAAATCAAAAATTCGATCTCTGAGTCCAAAATCAGCCAGAACTTACTTGATCTTCTTCTTTGGCCTCACTGCAAGAGGGAAACAATTGTTCAGTCACCAAACACGGCAGTTAAGGTTCAACATCAAATTGATGAAGTGAAAATCACAATTGACATAATTATCTTAAGACTAACCTGATTACTATGACCGCACTTCTTCTAGCGGCAGTTTACAGCCCTTGGATGTAGACGAGCATAGCATCTAACAAACCAACAAATAGACACTTCGGTAAAAGAAAACAGAAAGCATATTATAAAAGCATTAATAAAATGAGAATGTTCCATCCAAGAAAATCAACTGAAAAGCAATTAAAGCCAGTTGACAAAGTTAAGTGATGGAGATCAATATAGGGAACAAGTATATTCAGAGAGAGCGAAGATGATATTCTTGAAGAAAAGGAAAAAGAAGAGAAGAATGCACACAAAGAACAAAAAGAAGAAAAAGAAAAAGCTCAGGTGCAGGTAAAGAAAGGACAGAGTTTAAAGTCATTAATGGAGGAAGATGAGAGAAAGAATGAGAACTTAGTGATGATGTGATGCCACTTTGATTGAAGATGACTGGAGATTTGAGAATCAAGAGAGACTTACCGACGACCGACTTAGAGAGCGACCAGCAGCCTCCTCCAGCGTCAACGAAAAAGAAAGGATAGGGTTCCAGATTTTTTAAATTTATTAAATTTTTTTATTTTTTTTAATTGTAATTTTATTTCTTTTTTACAAAAAAATGCCAAAACGTGTCCAAATACGTTGACTGCGTGTCGGATTCGGTCAAACTCGCATGTCCCGCTAGTCAACGTGTCCCAAAAAGTTGACCGTGTGTCCTAACGTGTCCGTGTCGGACACACATTTTTGGCCAAAAATGGCGTGTCCGTGTTTCAAAGATGGGAACTTCCATAATCAATCAACACTTCTACATCACGGTGAGCAATTTTAGCAGATAATTGCAATGATCTAGGATTCACATTACCTGATAGTGTATGGAGAGTTGCATCATTAGAAGTGCCACTCTTCAATTCCTTCTGCCACACAATTTCTTTCTCCGGTTCTGAACTAGAGTCCTCCGAATCTCCTATCAGAAGCAGCATCTTGGCTTTACAGCGATGTTTAGCTGTCCACTTCTCATCATAGCTATAACAGAGATCTATGTCTCATTAGTTTTGCAATTCCTCAGAAGATAATTTCATAATAAGAAGTGAAGTGCCATTCGATGTTGATGGTAAGGATGGAAGGGAAATTGGATTTGGTAACAGCCACGATGTGTGTGAAGGGTTTTGCTTCTCTATATTTTGCTGCCAACTGTTCGATGAAAAGTGAGTTGAAAATTGTTTCTTGGACGTGGAAAGAAACGATGTTCGAACCTCTGAAAAATGTGAATCATATGAAATCGCTAATTGAATAACTTGATGAAGAGTACAGGGCCAATGCAACTGAGACATTGGATTAATCAATTGCTCAAACTCTTTGATGTACGCCAACAATGACCCTAATTATATGAGTTTAGAGAAAACTCCACGAATGTCTCGGTGATTCGGAAAGGCGAAACGTTGACGAAGAGCAACGCAGAACTAACCCCAAGAAACTGTTGTACCACTCTTGAAGATCCACTAGTACCAAGAAGCGACATCACCGTCCATTTTCAGCCCAACCAATTGAACTTTCAAGATTTTCGGCACCTGTTGTAATCGAAAATATAGTTCTGTTCTAAAGATCCAAGTATTTGGATCTTGACCATTGAAGATCAAAATCTTCATCTTCATCGTCTTACATAAAGAACATAGCAACTGGTGCAACAGCAGCCCGAGCAACTAGTGCATAGCAATCCTTGGCCATATGGCCATTCTTCCCACACTTGTAACATAGCAGCTCACCAGTGGCACAATGCCCCACATGCTCTTTCCCGCATCCTGCGCTTCTAGGAGTAGAATGAGGTCTAGCAAAACCCCTATGTGGTGTAGAAGTCCTCTTGAACTTGTTGAACGACTTTCTAGCTTGCAACTGTTTCCCTTTGCTCTTGCCGTTATACCTCTTGTCCCTCCCTTGGTTGGAACCACTGACTCCCTTCTCCTCAGATAACTTGGCCGTTTTGGCCTTGCTGACCACACACACATCCTCTATGTCACGGCACTGTTGAACCAATGTGCCAAAATCTCTGGATGCAGCTCCAGTTATCCTGTCTGCTATCACCTCATTCAGGCCTCTACGAAACTTAGAAGCCAAAAACTCTGGTGTAGGTCTAACAGTTCGAAAATGTGCAAATTTGGCTAGCTTATTGAACTTAGCCAGATACTCGTACATCTGAGAGGTGTTCACCCACCACTCATGTGCATCTCCCTCTAGCATATAAGTAGCGAACAACAGCTTCTGTGGGACGATGCACTGCATAACTCTAAAGATCTTGTCCAAAAACTTGAGCCATCTAGCAGTAATAATTGGATCATAAGATCCATCAAACAAAGGTGGCTTGTGCTTGCGGAAAGCATTCAGCCGGCGGTCTCTCGTCTCCTGATCTTCTACTGGCTCGTAATAGGTTGCATCATCCCAGTAAGGTGACTAACACCCTCCATATGTCTCAGACCATCATCCTTGAGAATGTGCATCCCACCAGCTCCATTCCCATCCTGGTGACTAGGTGGAGGCGATCGTGGTGGTGGCGGTGGAGGAAACTGGCCATCATTATGACCAATCCTCATCTCCTCCAACATAACCCTCATCATGGTCATGTTCGCCAACCTGTTCACCTTAAGCACGTCTTCAGTGACTTTCCTATCGCCTCTCTCACGACGTCCAACATAGCCTAGTTGGCTACTCTAAGGCCTCCTGATAGGATTTTCTAGCCGCCTGCATCTCAGCTAATGCAGTCAGGATAGGATCAGGTTGACCCTCGTTTGTCTCCCGAGTTCTCCTAGGAGGTGCCATAACTCTGCACATGTTACACAAAGGATGAGTTGATCAGGCCCACACAATGTGGTCACGCATGCTTTATCACAGCAAAACCTAACAGAAACTCATAAGACAATTTACACAACAAGGCATCTTAAATTATTGCAGTACATATAGGCTTTTTCCCTAGAAAGTTCTTTGATATCATAAAATGTAACACCCCATGTGCACCTGGTGTATTAAACATATAAATGGTAATAGCTCTGCTCAATAAATGCGGTAGCTAAATTTGTCCAGTTATGAAACTTATCATATTAACCAAGTGGATTTACTTATTCTTTTTCAAACTATTGCATGTATGTAAATTGCAATAAATAACTACACTGAATAACCTCGTGATATAAATATGTATCAAGTCATAGAACTACAACACGTAGACCAGACAATATCCTGATACAGAAGTACAACTCACGTCTAAAATAAACATGGCTTATACCAATGTGGTATGGACAACCTCCATACTCACCAAATAAAACAACATAATCAAGTCATGTCTCAAGTACAATAGCCATATAATAAAAACAAGGCATAATCATATCTAGATATGTCAATAAAGCAGCATGTATAATATCAGTTCAACTCCGACCTCCTGCCACCAGAGGTCTCACCCTCAGAGGTACCTGTACCTGAAAATGTGCCCCACATGGGGTGAAATTTCTAATAAGAAATCTCAATAAGACAAAGGGTCCTCAAGGACTCTTCCGCCCCAAGCTCACTTACAAGTATATAATAAGTTCAAAACACTAACTACAATGCATGTTCATGTTAGGGCAATATAATTATGACAATATATCCAAATACTCAGCAAGTCATGTACCACAGTTCATATCTCATGTGATGTATGCAAGTGTGGTTCAACTGGCCAGAGAACAGGATAGGCATTACGCACGTCTGCAACCTACCAAAACATGAGGGGCGCTGCCTCATGCCTTACACACCAGGGTCGCTGCCCAATCGTGTAAGTACCCAACATCACATCCATACATTACATCAACAGGCATATCCACATATCTCAGGCATATAACAATGCATATATCATTTTCATAAAAGCATACCATGCACATAAACTACCCTCACATGGAGGTCGGTGGAACAAGCAACAGATTAATCCGAGGATCAGAAGCTTACCTGTCAAGCTAAATCCTCCCTCACAACTCGGTGTCCACAGGGTCACAAGTAATAACAAGGTCCATCAAAGTCAAGGATCTGTTTTCATAACATTTACATCATCAATATTCATAGTCTAGCATTTTATTGCATTAGGACAACGTTTTCTTTATCGTTTAATGGTCGTAGGCTTCTCTCAAAGCCATAACCCTTCAATATTACAGATTCTGACTTAGTTACATCATTACAGAGGTTCATACTAATCAATTAAAGGTCAAGAAACCTAAACCACACTTCTGTTTGGACAAAATGGCTCAAACTATGAATTTTCCAGAATATATGGATATTCCTCGGGGACATATCCGGATATCACAGGGTCAATATCTGGATATCACATACCCAATATCCGGATATCATAATATCAATATCCGGATATCGTATCCGGTTATTTCGCGAAGATATCCTTCCAAGACTCTATTTTTTATGTTACCAGACATTCAAACATGCATATTTAAACCCATTAAGGCCAGTGTTCATGTTAGTTACTTAATCACCTCATTTTACATGTCAAGACTTAATCTTTATCATAGAAACTCAAGAACAAAGGTAAGGAATATCCCCCAAAGGCTCAAAACAAAAGAAAAGAGGTCTCTTGAAGCTCTCTACACAACTCTACAACTCTGTCACCACAAGACCACGGAAATGGTTCACAAGCTTGGTCTTTTCCTTCACAAAATAGCTTCTTAAAGTATCAAATGCCAAGAAAATTCCTTCCACTCCACTAACCAAGGAAGTCAGCCCCCATACCTCTCTAAACAGAGGCTATGGCCTACAAAGATGATGGCTTTCTCCCTCACAAGGCTCCCTCTCAAGTGTTTACAAGGTGGAAAAGGAATGATCAAGAGTAAAAATGAGGTCTTGGGTGATTTTCATGCAAAGGAGACTATGGAAACTAAAGGAGGGCATATGGTTCAGCCATGAACAATGGAGAGCACCTACGTAACATGTAAAATTATGATATAGGGTTGTGTGCACTTCCTATTTATAGGTGCACTTAATAAATCCATCAGTATTAGTTCTAATAGCTCCACTATTTATTTTTCTCCCAAACTTAATATTCTGAACCTAGATATTTTTCTAGGAATTATCATATTTTTATTATAATTTTTGCAGCACTTTGCCGGTACGCATTTTATACGTAATCGGTATTAGTTCTGACATCAACGCTCATTATTCTTACTCTAAACTTGATATCCTTAACCTATATATTTGTCTAGGAATATTTATATTTTTATTATAATTTTTCGGGATACTTCACCGGTACGCATTT